CGGCTCTAGCCGTGGCATCGAGGCCCTGAGCGGGGAATACGACGAGAATGATGACGGTGCTGCCGCCACTTCTATTGCTGGTGGTGGTGGTGAGGTATTCTCCAGCACGGCAGGAAACAGCTATGGCGTTGATGGGCACGGCTACGGACATAGACACGGGTCCTGATTTCCTAGGTACCTAGACTTTGGGCGGCTGAGATTGGATATATACTCCGTGTTCAAGTAACCGCCATGTATACCATCTACAAACATACAGTACCTACCAAACCTCAGGCCTCGGATAGAAACCATGAATGAACAAGACTATTCTTACATAACCCATGCAATAGTATTTTTCCATGTTGACAACCCGTGGTATGTGCGTACGTAAGTAGCACTGGCCGAGCTCAGCGTTGGTCAGCTCATGATGCCAGGCCAGACCATCTGAGTCGCCTCCATCTCCGTCTTCGTCTCGGCCAGAGGACGAGAAGAGTTCTCCAGAAGGGGCAAAGGGACAAAGGAGAGAGAGCTCGAGAACTTGGATGATTCCATTATTTGACCTTCAAACTACCAAGATTGACAAGTATGGTAAGACGGCATAATGCCGAAGGACTAGAAAAGTACTGAAGACCATGGAGGTGGCTGAGGAAGTAAAAGATCAGGATGGGTGGGTTCGGAGACCCGATGCCGTTAAATAATTCAGACAACAAGGACGATGGTCCCCGCTTGAAGGGGTTCGACATTGAGGGAGAGGTCATTGCAGTCGCTGGGGAAACGTAGCCAGAGCGACATCTGTGTGCTGTCAATACACTGCAGGTGACAGAAGACAACGCTGTGCATTTGCGCGTGGTCCATTCTTTGGCTTCTGAAGGTCGTTGAAAAGCCCGCAGCTTGGTGTTGAGCGTGACTCCATCATTCAAGACCCAGTTCCTTCATAGTCGGCCTCCCGTCTCTCCATGGCCTCGGCTCGCCTTCACCAGGCATTTCGACCCCATTCGGTAACTGCACCTTGGGAAATCCGTCTCTCTTCCATACGTAGACCTCGTCGGGATCCAGGCTCTCAAACGCACCTGGCATTGAACGTGTCTTGTCTTCGTCGCTTTCCTGCCTTGACACGACCCATTTGCTGCGCACCTCGTGGGCTTTATCCTCGTCGACCAGAACCAGAGCACCGCTGTGCCAGCCCGCAGCTGCGATAGCGATTGGGAAGTATGACCCGAGATTGGCATAGTCCTCTGTGGTCTGGCTCTTGCCTGGCTGAGCATCTGAGTCTGTGGGTACATTACTCGCCGGTCCTTCTTCCCAATGCCTCCCTTCCTGCTCGACCCATTCACTGAATGCAGCTTGTTTTACCGCATCAACGTCCCAGATATGGCGGGCTAGCTGGCCGTTCAAAGCGAAATGTGGTTGACTTAGCTGGTCTTCCATCCATTGCAGCCAATCCTTCCGTTCAGGCTCAAACCAGATTTGACGGCCGCGGATATTGGCAATGGGAAGTAACACAGCATCACTTCGTAGGCCAGGTCTTTCTCGGCGCAGGCCACGAAATCGACCGCCATGTTCCGGACCAGAAAGGCCTAGCGAACCACAGCTTTGGGAGTCCGTACCGTATGAAGTGATTTTGCCGTTAGCGTGTAGGGCGTGGTAATGGTAGTCGCCATATGCAAGTGATATAACGCCTGTATGCTGCATGGCGGGTATGTCCTGAGGTCTGGAGGCAATCAGTGTGGTCACAGTAGACGAATCCTCTGAGGATAGCAAGTCGGGGTGATATCGAACGGTTTCAGCACAACGTCTGATATAGTCTATGTCACCAGCAAGTACTTCGCCTGCTGCTGTGAAAACACCAAACCTGTGGAACTGACCCTGAATATCTTTCAATTCACGACCTGGTGCGTCGAAGCCCGGGAGCTCGAATGGAGGATGACTTGGTCCAGGCTGATCAGGGTTATCGACGTGGACAGCACATGCGTAGACCTTGGACTCGTTCGTGATCCATACGATGTAATTCTCAAGAACGATGTGTTTGAGGACCTCCACGTCTCCTGTCTCGGCTCTTCGCTTCGCAGTTCCTGGAATAATCCTCTCTTTGACCTCCTTCCCATCCAGCATTTCGTCCACTTGGTCATTTTGAATGGGAGTCCAATAGACAATACCTATATTCGGCACATAGGCGGAGCTCTCTGCCCAACCTGCAGCGACTCTGGTAGGTCGTCCGCCGAAGTCTGTCCCAATCCGCGAGAAGACCATGAGGCCTCTGGCATTGATTCTGTCCCAGGAGAGTATTTTTCCTTCATCAGTGAGTGCCAGGATATGACGACGACCTGAAGAAAACTGTCGGACGGCGGAGGTGCTCTGAGTTAGATATTCGAGCTGGCGGAAGTGGTCGGAAGATTCGCCTACCACCCTGCCGTCCATAGAATCGATTGAGCCGGTGGTGTATAGCTTGCCGTCCGAGGACAGAATGGTAGTGGACCAGCCTCCACACTGAAGATCAGCTATCACTCCTACGTCGTCGGGGATGTGAACTTCTGTGGGCCAGGTGGAGGAGGCTCGCTGGAACGGTCGTGAATGGATCATGGTTGGGAGAGGACGATGTGGGACGCGTGGAAGGGCTCTCTGGGGAATATGATGTGGACCATGAGGCAGTGGTCGACGAGGCACTGGGAGAGCTCTTCCAGGTCCCAAGCTCCCTTTCAATCCTTGGCCCCAAGTGTAAAGGCGAGTTTGGGTCTTGAGTCGTTTGTACAGCCAGTACCAGCGAGGCCCATCGGCCGCGAGAAGGGGACTGATCGGGAGACGGAATGTGTTCGAGGCTTCATGTCTCCAGTACACGGAATCTTGTCGATATTTCAAGTATACGGCCTTGGATGCACGGCAGAATGCGAGGTAGTCCTGTGGATCAAGGTGGGTTAAGATGGAGGGAATCACATCGTCTGGCAGCTGGAGGAGTGGCATTTCTGCTGGATCTGAGCATCGTCTTCCTCTAAAGACCGTAGGAGAATCAACAGAGAAAAGTGCATGAACAGCGTTTACTAGCGTCGATGCGGTTGATACAATGGTAGATGAGCAGGCAAACACAATTCACCATCACACCAGCTGGTTGACGGCGGGCCACCAGAGGCCAGATCAGGGGATGATGTCATTAAGGGGTCACTGGCTGGTGCTGGGGGGTTGTCTGGTTGTCTTGGCGTCGGGCTCTGCAGGGCCCCAAGTGTCTGGATGTTAAATCATGGGTTCTCAGTAGATGTTTGATATTTTAGTGTGGGGTGCCAACAAACACCTGCAATCGCCTCAATCTGCAGACGTCTATCTCTCAATTCGCGTTCGCTCCTGTCGATTGCTCTCTGATTTAGAATCTCGTTTCGTCGTTCGCATACCTCGCAATCATGGCCGACTCGGGTGATGCCAAACCAACTCCCTCGGCGGATCAGACTGCGTCGTCCGACTTGAGACCTGCTGAACAAGAGACTAATCTCGTGACGAATCCCCTGGGTGATCCTTCGTCCGAAGCCCCTGCTCAAGAGACCAAGTCTACCACCTACACCGACACTGCTGCCAAAGCCGCCAGTACTGCCGCGAGCACTGCCACCGCAGCGGCGACTGGCGTCAAGGACTCTGTCTTTTCCATGTTTGGTGGTGGAGCCAAGAAAGAGCGCAAGGTCGAAGAGGATGATAATGCAAAGGATGAACCCAGCGGTAGTTCCAAAGCGCAGAAGAAGGAGGATGAAGACGATGTGAGATATACTCTACCCATTCAAGGGGGAAGACCTGGGCTGACGTTGTTGATATGACAGGACAAAGCCGAAGAGGAGGAGGCAGACGTGGAATTCGAACCCGTGGTCCGACTGACCGAGAAAGTCGAGACAAAGACCAATGAGGAAATGGAGGAACAGGTCTTCAAGATGCGTGCCAAACTTTTCAAGTTCGACCGCGAGCCGAAGGAGTGGAAGGAGAGAGGCACTGGCGATGTTCGGCTGCTCAAGCACAAGGAGAACGGAAAGACGCGATTGGTGATGCGCCGAGACAAGACTCTCAAGGTTTGCGCAAATCACTATGGTAAGTCTTCGTCTGTCTGCAGTGCTCGCCGCCGAATGGCTCTTGGCTAATCTCTACATCTAGTCACCCCTGATATGAAGCTTTCACCAAATGTGGGTAGCGATCGAAGCTGGGTTTGGAATGTTGCAGCAGATGTCAGCGAGGGCGAGCCAGAAGCGCAGACCCTTGCTATCCGGTTCGGAAACAGTGAGAGTATGACATTGCCTCCACATCTCCCATTGCCCGCGTGCTAACCCGCCACAGATGCCAATCTCTTCAAGGAAGCGTTCATCAAGGCCCAGCAGGACAACGAGTCTCTGTTCCAAAAGTCATGATGCATCCGATAGCGAGTGGGGGTTGTGTGATGATTGATCCAGCAAGGAATCTACAGCTGCCGACCAGCAGAGCAATTGCAGAGCAACTGCAGAGCAACGCATATGAAAGAGATGTGATTCATGGTTTACCATAGGCTCTGAAACTCTCATATCACCTGACCTTAGATAGAGACGCAGTCTGCCCAACGGCTAGCCTTGGCAAGAATGAATGGAGTTGTGAAGAAGACCATCCCACAACGTTTTTTGTCACTCTATCTTAACCCGAAATTCGTAACTGATCACCCCAGTTCATTTTGGCGCTAGTCCTCGGCAAAGTTGCCATTTATGACGTATATATAAAGACAGCCCACCTCATCCCTGGAGATCCACTCAACCTTCTTCGTGAACGGCAAAGCATCTTCCCACGAAGTGCGACAACCAAGTTGGCAACCCCTGTTTACCTTTTCTCTGGTTAACGTCCTGCGTCAGACTGAGCGTGGCCTCTACTGACATTCCGACATCTCTTGAATCGGTCACCCCGACACTGTCGCTCACCACATCTTCAAGTTTCCCTCCTCTCACCTGGTCCTCAGCAGCCACGACGCAGACGATCTACAAACCCCACCAACTCGCCGTCATTTTGACTTCAACTAAACACAGCTCTCCATCATGCCGGACGTAAGTCGCAGTGTCGCATTCGCTTCAACATACAGCGCGACTGACAGTCTTTACAGGTCAAACGCAGTGTCAAAATTGTGACGGAGCAAAAGATCATGTAAGTTGACTCCTGAACTCGCGCCTCACCCCGCGTTCACCTCCTCTCACCTTCATGTGCCTGGAGTTTCGAACATGCTCCAACCCACCGCTCAGCACTTGCAACTGCTTGCGACTTTTCAAGGTTCTGTTCTGACATGATGTCTACAGTCCAGGTGCCGACAGTGGCGTGACCGGATTCCCTCTCAGACATTGGTCTATGAAGATTTTCCTCCTCCACGCCGACACAAAGCAGGAGATTGATGCAGACATTTTTGAGTCGGTAACATACTTTCTCCACGACTCATTTGGTGACAAGGCGACACAAAGTATGTATCACTGACGTGACCCTTCTTTGCCATTGTGTGTCAACTTGCTAACCACTGTCCGTCCCGACAGCCTTCAAGAAGCCACCATTCCGTGTTGCCGAAGATGGATGGGGTGAATTCGAACTACGAATCGAAATGAAAGATCTCAGTGGCAAGGTTCACAGCATCCTCCACGACCTCAATTTCGCCAACGCGCGTTATGAGACCAAACAGATCATCACCTTCAAGAACCCCAAAGGGGCACTCCTCGAGACACTTCGCAACTCTGGTCCTATTCCAGGAGAGTCCACCTCAAACGGCACCGAAACTGCTAGCAAGAAACGCACAAGCGAGATCGGGGGAACTCAGAAGAAAAAGAAGGGAGACAGCAAAGTCATTGACATGGACAAATTGGCCGAAGGCCTTCAGAAGCTTGGTGAAGACGACCTTCTTCAGGTTGTGCAGATGGTGCATGACAACAAGAGTGAAGAGTCGTGGATGCGCAACGATGCCGAACGTACGTGCATACCTAGTCCCCCCTTTTGTGTGCATTGCTGCTAGACAAACGGTTACTAATGCTTGACTCTTCTACAGAGGGCGAATTTCACGTTGATCTCTACACCCTCCCTGAGAATCTTATCAAGATGCTCTGGGACTTCACAACGGAAAAGAACGCGATCTCGGCGTCTGCATAGGCAGATTGTTGAGTACTATGTCTTCCATATTTTACAGGTGGAGTTGGAATGGTCCAGCGTTCTTGACCACCACCTGTCCTTCTTCAACTCTTTTCTTGATCCCGGGCTTTGATAGGATGGCGTCAGTTCGTGGCAAGAAAGCAGGGAAACAAAAGGGTTGGATCTCTGTACCATCACATCTATGGAACGGCTCGCGCATGATATGACCTGGGTTCTGCTTTCTGCAAATCTTTGCTGCTTCTGATGATTGAGTCGCTTTGCGCGCACATCTGAGCATCTGCGAACGAGTCTGTAGCATTTCCTGAGGGGAGAGCGACTGGGGGATTTTTCAAGGGGGAAAATGGTGGTTTGGATCTCGAGTGTCTTTTCGTCCTATGTTTCCTTCAAGGGGGGAATATCTCAGTGGGACAGGCACGAATGACATGACATGACGGCAACTTGCAACTAGCAACGCACTGGGAGTTGAGATCGGACGATGTACTCTAGGGAAGGCAAGGATTTGATTCTACAACCCATCTCCTGTCTCTTGTCTCTTTGTTATGCGCTTGTCATTATTCACCACCACCACCCCCCATCACCAAGATCCATATCTTGGTATGGATCTTACGACGAAGCTATGATAATGTGCGCAAGCAACCAAAGTGGATCGATGATCCCTGAAGCTGAAGTTGGGAGGCCAAAAAAGGGGGAGGGTCTTGCGACGCACAGGCTCGAAATAATGAACATGAAAACAAAATCTTGAATCATTCATTCATTTGAATATATTGAAATTTTTTTTTGACATGTAGTTAATTGGTTTCTTGGGCATTCCAATGCAGATGTCATTGCCCATTGCAGAACGCGAGTTCTTCCTTTGTCTGCGTATATACAGCAGGCAGGTAGGTATCCAAGGAGTCTATATGTTGCAGGTTTGTGGCCATCCACCCACACATCAAAATCCTCACCCCAAAGTCGTTAGACACCGATGGTGGCTCGGTATCTAGTAGTGATAGATCGTAAACTGTTGAGGCTGAAGTCAGAGCTTGTGTGCTTGAACTTCCAGGCTCCTTTCATCTTTGTTCTTTATTTTTTTTTTTGGAATGTACCTGAGAGTGGGCGATGTGGGCGTGGTTAAGGCGATCCGATCGTTGCTGGCGCTGTGTATTTCACCAGCTATCATATGTACAAAGGAGACAAGATGCCCAGTCAGTCGGACAAAGACAGCAGATCCGTGTCGTTGGTATCGTAGAGGACCGAGGTCTAATAGCTCGTGAGAGAATGTGTCGGAGAATATGTGGCAAAGATGTGCATCATACATTTGTTTCGTTGCCGCGCAACAAGGTGGGCAGGATCTGAGTTTAAAATCGGCATGGCGATGATATTATTACATGGATGGGCAACAAGGACAAGAAGCTTTTCACAAGCTGGTGGTCGAGATCTCATCGGAGGACACGGTTTCTGTTGACAATGGGGATCAGCTTGAGGTTTTTTCATCATCAGCATGAAGCATGTTACTCACTGAAGCAGCAGACCCTCCAGACCCTCCGCTCTTACGCCCGATATCGTAGCAAAAACGTCACCAGCCTTGTAAGCCAGAATCGCGGGGATGTCGACCGTCTCCATCTCCGCAATCTCATGGTGTAACTTGATAAAGCGAGTGGTATTGTGCTTGTAGGCAAGCATACTCAGCTCGTCTTCCACCTCGGCACTTGCACTAGACGAAGGATCATATATCATGACGACGACGACGGTCTCGTTGGAGACCTTTTCAATTGCGTCCAGGTAGCCATTCGCATCCACTTCCATGAACACGCCCCAGGTCCGTTGGCTAGGAAAGTGTTTTCGTTGAGCACTGTAGGCAGACTGTGATTGAGAAGAGAGCTCCTGCAGGCGGTTGGCTCGCCATGTTTTCATGAATTCCGAGTCGGCTTCATCGTCGGAAAGGGTCAAGTTGGTGTCTGAGTTGGAAGATGTGGTCGATTCGGGTGAACCAGAAATGAGAGTTCTGCGCTTGTCACTCTTTTCTGTGACGGTCGGGATCGCTGCTGCCTTGCCATTTGAGGTCAGGTTATTGGCAAAGCTAGTCAGCCGTTGTCGAAATGTCGATTGTTTCGCGCGGGCAAAAGATTGGGCGTCTGCAATGACTCCCTTGGGCCCAGTGTTGGCATAGTGAGCTTGGGAGGGTAGATGGTACGTGGTCTTTGTGGTGATCATGGTCGCCATGTTGCCGGCGCTCTCGTCGTCAGTCCCAGGGTCAGAGAGATTGTCAAATGCAGGCTCGGGGTCAAGATCGAGGTCAGAGTTGTCCTTGTCGTCGCGATCTTCGGGATGAGAAGTCGGGTGGTCGCGGTGGGAGAAGTAACGGTCAGCCTCTTCACGGGCGAGGTCGGCCATGTTGTATATAAGACAGATTTTCCCCTCCTTTGCTCAATAGTTCTGTTCTTTGTAGGGCGGGCAGGGGTGGGCGAGTGGAGGCCGCTCCAATGTTAGATCGAGTCAGAAGGATAGCAGTTGGCGGATCCTGTTGGTCTCTGATTCTGTGACATAGGTAGGTAGGGGGGTCCCCAGAAAGGTCCGTCTCAAAGTTTGTTCTACCTTGCTGGTGCTGGTGAGACGGCGGTAAGCTGGGATTGATCAGCTCACAAAAGCACAAATTTGGTAGTGCGACCTGATGACAGCGTTGGCAGTTTTGAAGAGTAGTGAAGGGGGTGGAGATTGAGCGGAATGATGGCAAACTTGTCGCGAGACCAGAATGGACGAAGCAGAGTCTGAAACACCAGGCTAGCAAACCCTAGCGACAAACCCCAGCGGGACAGTGGGTCTAGACCAGGCTGAAAGCTCTAGGGCATGCAATGGTGTGCACTGCGGACGGGTAGGGCGTGGAGAGACGGCTGATGTGCTGCTGTTGTACATAGAGTTTTGAGTGCAAGAAGACGAATGAAATGAGCAGTTCCACCAAAAACCTTCGTGTGGACGAGTTGACCGCACGCAAGATTGACAATAAAAAAAGAATGAAATACATGGACAGAGTTGAATAACTGATCCCCTTGTCCCTGTAATGGTAAGGCGAACAATGATGGTGACGGCGGTTTGTTCTGGATTAACCTGAAACTTGGGCTCTTTTGTCACACGCAGCTCCTTGTGACTGCGCCGCAGTTTGTCATCTTTCACTCTGACAGCGGCTGCGGTGACAGCGGGTCCCGGGCGGAGAGAACGGATGAGATCATAGGCTTCCTCTTACTACATAGGTACCCAGCGGCTACATCCCTAAGAGTTCCTGCCAAGTACGGGTACTACCTACGGAGTACTTCTCCTCCGTAGGTACCTCCCTAGGCACGCTAGGTACCTAACTGTTAGGCGGCTAGGGTACCAAGGGAGCCCTACCGAGCAGCAGACACTAGAAGCTAGATGGTTAGAACCTTGTCCCGGGAATCTTTGACGAGTGTTTCCCAGACGAGGGGGTCGGTATCAACACCCCCCAAACTGGATCTGCCAGATTCATTGTTCCACTCCAGTACCTCGCACACCACGTACACTCAATAATGCCACTCACTTACTGCTGACGATGGTCCTAAAATGCATCCCAGGATCAGTCCGGCATCCCTCTATCCTGTCGATCTCGGGCTTCGAGTGCCCTGGACCCCCTAGTGTTTGCTCTCAATGCAGAGTTTCAGCTATCCTCATCTCAGGCCAAGTGAGTCCATCATCCATCCGCACCTTATCAGCTCTACAGCATCGATCGTGTCCCCCCTCTGACAAAGTCAAGATCCACACAACTCGATCTTCTCCCCTACGAGCCCTGCCTGTTCCTTCCCCTTCTTGGCCCCCCTCGAGATTCATCGACGCATGGTCGATCAGTGGAGCACCAAGTCGGCTTAGGACGAGGCCCGTATCCGTCCTGGCATGAGAAGACATACTAAAATTCTGACACTTGCTGCCATTGGATCCTTGAAACTTCGCTGTCAGGTCGATCATCTTGTTGGTTGGCTTTGTTGTATGGTTCCACCTCTACGGTAACCCTGTTCGAATAATGGTAAGAATCCCACACGGAATTCATTTCTCGGAAGAGCTGGAAATCGTGTCGAGATTCTTTTATTGCTCATCACAGATTGTTCACATTTCTGCATCAAGTCGTCGCAGAGGCAACCGACAAATAATATCGAGTATTCAAAATTCTTTAATCCCTTGACCTGGTGGACTTCGTTGCTTGTGCCTGGTCCGTCTTCCTGCACCCCATCCAGCATTGACACTCGCAAGTATATCATCATCTCGAATCTTACGTTCCACAGACTTCAATCGCCGAGCTTGTGGAGCTTGTATGCTTTCTTCGTTTGCTCCATCCATTCCAGATCTCTTTTTCCTCGATGCAGCCAGTTTCTCCCGCAACAGGATCGCTTCTTCGGAGTCTTCATAACCCAGTTGGGTCATGGGTGGTGCTGCATGCTGCTCTATTGAGAAACCGGCATTTCTGGGCATGTCGGAATCGTCCATCTCCAATGGAGCTGATTTGAGTGCAGCTAGAGTCCGCTTTGCCCGTCCAATGAAGTTAAAGGTGCCTTTCTCAGCTGTAGATGTGCTTTCACCGTTCTGGGTCTCGGCTGACTGGATAGTAACAATCTCGCTACCAATCCCGTCCGTGTTGATACTGTCAATAGAACTGGCTCTTGACCACCTCACATTCGAGGCTGTTGATGAATTGGACAGGTTGCTCAACGCTCGCCCGAATAATCGATTCTTCTTTAGGGGATCGTTTTGATTGCTGCCGACAGATTTCTTTCTGGAGTGCTCGTTCAGGATGTCTCTGATAGCGCCATTGATTGCTTCGATATCTGTGGGTTTGCTTTGAACTTCAGCCCGCCCACCACTTTTGGCAGGCGCTGGAGCGTTCTCCTTTGATGTCGAGTCTTCTGTCCTCGAGAGAGCGTCCAACGGTTGGATTGATGGTTGGTTATTCTCCAAACGTGCATTTCCGCCGTTCGGGGATAGTATCCGGGGCGAATAGTTCCCATCGTCGTCTGATTTTTCTTTTGTCTCATTTCGTCCCGAAGCACCACCAGCACCACCAGCACCACCAGCACCACCAGCACCACCAGAAGCAGATGGTCCTTCTTTAGCTTGTCCCTGCATCTCCTCCGCCCCCCGCTGAACATTGAGACAAGAATTTGATTTCGTTGATTTGTCGGGGGCGGATCCATCATGCGTTCGAGTCCCGTTGGGCCTGGATTCCGGGTTCGCTCTATAGTCACCCGCATTTCGTGGAAGAGGAATCGTGCTAACTTCAACATAGTCTTCCAGAGCGCTTCTCTTCGCTGGCCTCTCACTGTTCGCTGTATGCGATCGCGCCTGTCTGAATAGATAGCTTTCGACATTAGCTTTGGCTTGGTTCTTGATTGTTGACCACAGCCACTCCTCAGTCACAGCGGGAATTCCCACGTGCTGTGCAAACTCAAGTTTGTCCTTTTTGGCACTGCCGGCTTTGCAGATCAGCATAGAGACGGCCGCAGTGAACATCTGCGAGTAACTACCCCCGAGCAACGTGACGATCTTGGATACATGCACAGCTTCTAGACCATCGAAGCCAGTTGCGTTGATGGTCAGATCTCTCAAACATGAAAGGGATCCCCGGAGTATCTGTCCGAGTGGGTATTTGCATGGGTCGACGAAAGACTTTGCGAGCATGCATTTTTCAAGCCAGAATTCGGACACCACTTGGGAACCACCTGCAATGATTTCGGCTGGTGTTGAATCTTTCTTGCCTACATCATGAGGCTGTATGGCAATTATACTGTCGCGTTTGTTCTCATCGGTCTCTTCTCCTTCGCTGACGATTGTCGCCCCATACTCAACCAACACTTTTTCAAGGTGTTTTCTCTAGCATCTTGTAAGCGTTTATGCGGGAATGGTAGAATGAGGCAATTCGGTGGCTTACCTTCTTCTCTTCGAACAATTGTACCTTGAACAGGCAACCTATCAGGAACCCATTGGCGCCGTGATTAGAAACTCTGTTGATGGATTCGGCTTCAGGGTCGCTGATGGCAGCTGACTTCCTGGCAACTTCTCGAAGGGCAGGCATAGAAACCGAAGGCTTCAGCTCCGGACGCTCAAGTTTTTTAGCCTCAAACCCAGCACCGCCCACAATATCCGACCACATATCTTGCGTCTGACTTCCAAATTTGGCGCTTGCTGTCCTCCGGAGCTTTCGAGAAGGTTCTGGTCCGACATTGTCTTCTCTTGTGCGTTTGCCAAGTTGAGGAGAACGCCTCGCTTTTCGATTCCATGCCCCAAGACCTTGTTCGGCAACCGGAATAGTAGGATGATAGAGTCGTTCGTCCAATTGCATGCCCCTTTCCAATGTATCCTTGTACCATTTGAGGCTGACGACTTTTTTCTGCCATTGCATGCCATATTCATACTTTTTGCCTTCGGGCTTCGCAGCGATCAGATGGGTTACATCCTTGGTCAGATCTCCTGTGTATTCCCCGCCATTTTCTTTGACATTCTTCTGCAGTTGGGCACGAAATGCAAGGTCATCGAAGCCTGTGATGCAGATTTTTAAACCGGCAAGAGTGGGCATCCGATATTGTTGTGTGAGACTGTCGAGGTCCAGAGGCAAGTCGTTTATCCAGTGATCTCGAACAGCCTCAATCCATTCCGGACGGAGCACTTTAATATCTTCTCTTTCTCGAGCAACATACTGATATTTCAGGGTGTCTGTGCTCCCCACAATGAGATGGGTCGTATCGGAAGTCAAGTCGAGCTTGTGTTCAGCTCCCATCTGCATCGCCATGTCCGCATATCGGCTCTGTAGACTTCGTTAGTATAGAGCCCTGGCTCACTCGTGTTGTTTTGCTCACCCTGTCCTCTGGTCCGACTGAAGTAAAGCATAACATGACACCTTGGAGCGGTTGCTCGGCGGATCCTGAGAAACGCAAGTTAGCACGCCAGCAGAAAATCTCTATTGAGGAACTTACCCCGAGCTTCTGTCCTTGCCATCATGCATGGTCAAAACAGATCACCAAACTCCTACAACCCCTTCGCCTGGGAGTTGTCTCTAAGATAGGATTTTCAAATTATCATGGCGCTTCTGCGTTGCGGACGCGTCGAAAAGGGCGCGTGCTGTGCTGGAGCGGCAAGTTAGCCGAAGCGGGGGTTCACACTAGCCTTCTCTGGAGCTTGGCAATATGGGGTATATTTATTTGTGCCCCTGATGCACTGGCTCGTTCCCTTACCTTGTATGACGTCGTGGTGCATCTCGTAGCCGATTTGCTGATCTCGTGTGTTGATTGTACATTCAGGCCGGCGGCATCTTGGAGATCTCGTAAATTCCGGGAGCCAACCGTCTATCTCGTACTGCGTATCGCTCTCAGCCTACAAAGCAGGTCCGAGAGCCGAACGGACTATTTCTCCTTACACCGTACTTGTCTCGCTCACGATCCCTGGTTTCCTCTTTAGCGTCCAGGTGTGCTGCAGGGTACAATATGATATAATCACATTCGATCCGGGGATCTGACAATGATAGTCACGTGAGGGGACAGACGGAGACCATCTACCAACTCCTCGATGTCCTGTTCCGCATCGAACTGTGGCGAAGCGGAAGATATCGCATGATATGTCACGCTCTTGGCACCACATGGTATGATGACCAGGCCGACTTTTGCATATTGTATTAAGTACTTGTACCAGACCGAGGTACAGTAATCACCGACTGTGAGATCTGATACTGGGTAAGCAAGCCGAAGAAGCCGCTGACATCCCATCGGCGAAGTGGTAACCCGCGCGGGGAGCGCTTTCCATTCCATCTAGCCCAGCTGCTCGGACTTCTTGGGATGTGTTTCGGTCAGAAAGCGCGGACACGAAAAGGATGGTAAAGTGCATTTGATGCAGGGAGTTAGTCCAACAGTCAAGCAAAAGTCAGCAGAGACAGGTGATCCCCGCTATAGGGCAATCCTTGGGAGCGCTAGGCACGAACCCAAATCGGCTCAGCCTCAGCCAGACGCGTAATTCCAGAGCATGTGCTTGAGTACTCGTAAACAGTCGAGGGCTGGGCCAATCTGCGAGTAAATGCTCATGCAGGGTCAACATACCAGGAAGGGCAGTACCCACAGGGAGAAGGATATGCCATCTATATAGATCATAGGAGCGACCGCATTACAAACAATGCAGATTCAAGTGACTCAAGGTGCACTAGAGTACCTGGTCTTCACATACTGCTGCCGTCATCTTGGCCTCTCGAAGGTGCACATGCTTTAGCGGGAAATTGATCTGCCCATCCATATTTAGACACAATGCTATGCACAGTCGCTTCGACAGAGAACGCAGATATCTAGGCCTCGTTTTCCCGCAATAAGGAATCACGGATAATAATAAAAAATACGTCGTGGCTGCTTCCGTCGAACCTCACTTGACTGCATGCAGTAAACTGAAGTAGTGACCCACTTGTACAAGCAACCCTCTGGAGTAGAAAGAAGCAAGTACAAGCGGCCAACAGGGAAAGATAGACCAGGCCCCGCCAATGACGGAAAGCGTGACAAAAGCACACCAAGTACCGAGTACAAAGTACTTTGTCATGTCGCATTTGTGGAGTCTAGTGTGTCCAGGAGAACGGCTTGTTGCGAGCTTAGACCCGGAATGATAAAATGGAGAAGACATGGTTGGGCTGCGAGTGGTGATGCCTCGAACTTTCTGCCCGGCGGGATGACTCGGCGCAGAAAGACAACAAGCCTAGGCATTGATGCTATCTGAGGCTCACAAAAATCAGAATTACTGGAACGGCGTCACAATTCGAATCTTAGGATGCGGTTCCCGGTGTGCTGTAACATCTCTGAAGACGGAAGTATACGTCCAGGCGTTGCACTTAATGGCCGAGCAGAGGTGGAATACTGACAAAAGTCAAGAAGGCCGACGTGGCCAGCATGCAGTGCGGGAGTCTCGGCTTTTGTTTTCCCTCCTTTCTGCCTTTTTTTAGTTGTCACTCGCTGAGGGGCGATGCCTAGCTGTCCCACGACATCCGAGAGGATCGGTACCTAGGTTTGAGGAGGGGCCAGGAAAAATGATTTCAATTCTCCAGTGCTCGTGGCGACCAGCGGGAGCGGGTGAGGCTTTGTCTTTGGTCCTGGTGACCCGCTGTAGATCGTATGGCTCGATGATAGCGAAGAGTATCAAGGCAGAGAGTGTGGTCAGACAATTGTGCACGCGTAAGGCTGGGCTTGATGGACACTAGCACACCAGAAGTCAGTCAGGCACACGACATGAGTAAGATGCAGCAAAGTTATTAAGTCCCTGGAGCCATAGGGCCACGCCTCTTTGCTCTCCTCTTCTCTCTCCCTCTCTCCACTTTGTTGCGGGAGCCAGATTGCTGATCAGCTGTTTACGCTGGATCAATATCCGCCGAGCCGAAACGAAAGGAACCCAGTTGCTTGGTTGGCCGAGTGCGGGAGACTGACGGGCAGAACAAGTTCTGAAGAAGGAGAAGAAGTCTGTCCATCCAGCCAGACGATTTCCCACAAGAAACCGGCTTTGTGGCAGTTGGCCAGGGGAGAGAAGATCTTTAGATATTTTATATCATCACCATCACCAACTGGCGGGCTGACGACTGACTGACGAAACCAAACCAAACCAAACAGGCAAGAGGCCTTGCCTCCCCGCCCTGGTGACCCCCAAGTTCAACCAACTGATCCACCCGCAGCTCAATCAAGGAAGCACCTGGCAAGCCTGCAAGCCTGGGATTTTCTTACCCACCGAGCCTAAGCTGCTTCTGAGCACCTGAGGCTTTTTGCCTGGCTTCTCCGGGCCGGGCGTGCCACTCACTGCTGTCTGTTGGCGTGGCATTTATTCGATTCGTCTCATCCTCAATCATCATCATCCATTGTCCCGGTCTTCCCCAGCACCCTGGAGCACAGAGCACAATATTTCACGGGGATTATTGCTCTGCAAACCCGCGACTGTCTCACTCTGGTCAGTGAGCAACATTTCCATCAGCTTGAGCTCCTCCATCTCGAGTTTTCTTTCCTCTTGTCTTCGATATCACACACAAAAGCAATGCGCCAATGACACCCAGGAGGGTTATTCCGGTAGACGGCACGCCCTGAACTCCGACTAGTCCTACACACCGCAGTTATCCATTCAGCTGAATGGTTGCTGCTGCCACATTAGGTGCGTTTCCTCCACGCTTCCAAGGCCAAGCGCAAAAGCAGGCGAGAGTTCACAGCTCGTTCCAATTCAAACAAAGTTGCGGGTCTGGGGAATCCAACTTGAAGTTGGCACTATAGACTCGCTCACTTCCCCTCCCACGGGTAATCCTGCTGGTTGCTACGGATTGTCCACTGCCATCAATTACAATCTCCCCTCCTTCTGTGTACCGCTCTCTCTACCAGCGACGCTGACAACGATCGATTCCAGTTCTCTTCAGTCCACCCAGCCAGTGAATTCGACTTGCTCTCCAGACAAGTTCAACCTACCCCTCCGTTTGCCACCACTGTATACCCTACCATCGTCTTATCCTCTAGTCACCCGCGAAGCTGGCTTTCTCACGCGAACACGCAAAAAGATTCTTCAGACTTAACCTTCCCACCGTCTCTTCGCAACCAGTTCCCCTTCACCCGGTAGTATCTGATCGAGCGTCCTTACGAAGAAGTTCAGTGGGTACGGAGGATATGGTGTTCGCCGACGTTGGCAGGCGTTCACCGGAACGACGGGGGAGGAGTCCCAGCGTGGTCAGTGGGATAAGCCATCGATCAAGACACAACAGCAATGCTCGAACTGCTCCCGTCCAACCGCCGTCGCCCGAGGCACGTCCTGCGGCAAACATAACCCTATTGGCGGATGAGAAACCTATCGCTAGTGGCAATGGCGTCTCTGTCTCCATTGCCCTGGCAGAGCCGGTCTTGTTTCTGCAAGGGTTTGACCCTAACGATCCATCTACTCATAGCACCACAATGCTCCGTGGGAGTCTCCTCTTGAGAGTGCAGAAGCAGGCAAAACTGAAATCAATATCTCTGAACTTCCGGGGTAAGTCAGAAACGGAATGGCCGGAAGGAATACCTCCAAAGCGCGTCGAATTCCGAGACACCACCACCATCATGAACCATACATGGTCCTTCTTCAATGCCCAATTCCCGCAAGCCGAGTATAGCTACGGTGCGGATCTCGTCCAGCTCTCTAAAGGTGCCTCGGTGGAGTCGAAAGAAGTTGGCGTGACGGCATCATCATTCGACCTCTTCCAGCGAAGTGCCTCTCCAGCCAAAGGCCATCCGACTTCCCGTGACCTCAAGCGACTTTCCCTCCAGGCGAATCATTCGAGGAGTTTCGGCAAAGGTGATACAATCAATGGGGGACCGACTGTTGCCCAAAGGGGATTCAAAGTGTTCCATCCCGGTGATTATGTCTACAATTTCGAGCTTCCCCTCGACTCGCGGTTACCAGAATCGATAAGCGTCGATCTCGGCCACGTCAAGTACGAGTTGGAAGCCCTGGTCGAGCGTTCCGGAGCGTTCCGGGCTAACTTGGTGGGCACGAAGGAGTTGACACTCATCCGAGCGCCTGCCGAGGGGTCATTGGAGCAGGTCGAACCTATTGCAATATCTCGCAACTGGGAAGACCAGTTGCACTACGATATTGTGATCTCCGGGAAATCGTTTCCGCTCGGCTCGACAGTGCCCATTGCCTTCAAATTGACTCCGCTCGCCAAGGTTCAATGCCACAGGATTAAGGTGTTCGTGACAGAGAATATACAATACTTTACAAACAACAAAAAGGTACACAGGCTGGAACCGACAAGAAAAGTGCAGCTCTTTGAAAAAAGGGCTGATGGGCATAGTGTGACTTCTTACCCTGGAAGTTCAATGCGAATTCTTGCGGGCGGTGGTGTTCCCTATGACTATCGTCAACAGGCTGCTGCTGGTGATGAGGATATTCCGAGAGACCAAACGAATTTGCTCGGTAACCTGGATAATGACGCTGGAAGTATTGGTCCGACCGAGATGGAGTTCAATGTG